GAGTTCCTTGTTTTTTAATGCAGCATAGTATTCCATTGGACGGCAACATTTTCAATCCAGCTAAGTTGAACTCTTTTTTCTTCCTCCTCAAAATAGCCCCTGTCCCAGCATTTATTCACACTTTGACCTCTTCCAAGAATTCCTTCCCGCCCCGCCCCCCCCCACCATGGTCTTAAAGAAGCAGGGAAGAAACAGCTCAAGTTAGAAAAATGTTACGTTGAATAGATCATGTGGCTGTATTTTTATTTAACATTTTTCATCTGTGAATGGTAAAAGAAGACAGACTCATCCATTAATATTGGTCAAATAAATAAGTTGTTAAGGTGGTGAGGAAATCTGGAGTAATAATTAGCCAAGGAAACTAGGCACCTTCAGTCAATTCTGACTCCTAACAACTGTGTTGTGTCAGTAGAACTGGGCTCCACAGGATTTTAAGTGGTTGATTGTTTGCAGTTGACCATGTAAAAGGGTTTGTATGACCCAAGAAAGGGAAATAGTTTTTTTATAGTCTTCCTTAATCTATGCCCATTTGCTCCCCTCTCTAACTTTTCATAAGATTATCTTGTGAGGCTTGGCCATGTGCTACTGCCTCCCGCTCCTTCCTCTTCCCGTGAATGAGTCTCTGAGATGGCAGGTGAGATCGTCAAGGCTCAGACTGCCCAGCCTAGTGGCGATACAATCTTTGGAAAGATATCAGGAAAGAAATCCCAGCCAAAACCGTTTTTGAGGATGAGTGATGCCTCGTTTTTCATGACATTTCACTTCAAGCACCAGTACATTTTCTGGTAATACCTAAGAAACCTATTATCCAGATTTCTGTAGCAGAAGATGATGATGAAAGCCTTCTTGGACATCTCATAATTGTTGTCAAGAAATGTGCTGCTGATCTGGGCCTGCAAAAGGGTTATTGAATGGTAGTGAATGAAGGTTCAGATGGGGGACAGTCTGTCTGTCATGTTCATCACCATGTTCTTGGAGGCCAGCAGATGCATTGGCCTCCTGGTTAATTTTGCTTTAGGAATACTTTTCCCTTCTTTAAACAACGATCAGATTTGCAAGTTTGAGTATGTTAAGCAGTACACTTACTATTGCCTGTGTACAGAGAGATTAAGGAAATAATTTGAAAAAATGATATGTAATAAAAGACTTGGTTGCATAGTTAAAAAAAAAATACTGTGTACCACAAGTATTTGAGGTCAGCAGTAGTGTAGCAGTGAGGCAAGATAAGTATTTACACCCCTGTTACACCAATAAGAATCTTGCTTTGGCTAAAATAAGAAACAGCAGGAATCTTTGAAATGTTAAGCTAATTAATTAGCTGGCTACTTTCAGAAGAAATCTTAAATGAAAGTGCTTCTCTAGCTGCTTTCCTATGGAGTGTTTATAATTAACATCTTCACATGTAACTAAAGACTTTTTCTTCACTTCAGAAACTGTTTATGAAACAATTTATTAGAAATAATTTGCTAATTAAAAGTATTATTTCCTCTCTGCCACCAGAAAGATACTGCCTAAATAAACTTATTTTATTTATAGATTCACTTTCTGCAAGTTTAGGACTTCGCTTAGTGGGCCCTTATGATATCCTTGCTGGAAAACATAAAACAAAGAAAAAGTCAACAGACCTGAATTGTAACCTTCACTGGAGGTTTTACTATGATCCTCCTGAGTTCCAGACCATAATTATTGGAGATAGTAAAACTCAGTACCACATGGGCTATTTCAGGTAAAGAATCTTTTCTTCTCTTTTTTTCTCCTTTTGCTGGTTAATCACTGACCTTGCCAAAGGCCAATAGCATATTTTCCCTTTTTTGTTTCTGTATTGCTATTGTAGCTATTTTAAATAGATAAACTTGTTAGATGTAATGTGATCTATAATCCTTTGTGATTATAAACCTTTGTTTCTCTTTAGGGTTCTGAAGAGCCCTCTTTGCCCAGTTAAGATAGTTTAGAGTTGCTGCTATGACTGTAAGTTAGCCATGTACTTGGCCAGGTCAGAATGACAACCTGTAGTTTAAGTGGCCTATATAGAGTTGACAATCTGGTGTCACTGCTTACCAGAGGGTGACATTCTGCCACTCAATAATCTGTTTTCCCTACTGTAAAAATGGGAATGGTAATTGTACATACTTGATGTTGTTAAGTGCCGTCGAGTCATAGACAACTCATAGAGACCCTATGAGTGAAAGACCTGAACACTTGTATAACTTTCATCATTTCTTTAAGTTAACAGGGTTTCTGGAGGCAAACTATTTCGGAAGTGGATGCCACTTCAGTTTCCAAGCTTGTTTTAATCGGGGAGCTTCACCAAACACTGTCCACGTAGGGTAACCATTATCCTATTTGACACATCAGTGTTGCAGTGTTGAGCTTCACAGCAACTAGGAGTTACCTCTGTACAGCAAATGGACAGATCAGTGCTATATGACCTAGAAGAATGTTTGACCAAAAACAATTAAAACCAGGCCTGAGGGCCACAGACTAAAATCACCCACCTTTGACTTGGTAGCATCACTTTCTGTCCACTAGGCCAACTGAGCTCTCTCATTGTTGTTGTTGTTAAGTGCCATCGAGTCGACATATCTAATAGGTTATTATAAAATTATTCTTGGTAGGGTGGAGGGACAGCGCAGGAGGGGAAGGCCCTCTATGAGGTGGATTGATTCAGTGACTGGGATAATTGGGATGGGAGTGACAGAGACAGTGCGATTGGCACAGGACAGAGCAGAGTTTAGGGCTGTTGTACATAGGGTCGCTATACATCGCAAGCGACTTGACGGCACATAACAACAACAACAACATAATACAAGATGTTTAAAATACAGAGAAATAGTGGTAGTTTGAGAGGGAAATACTTCATCCTCTTATAATAGTAGAAATGCTGCCATTTAATGTAGACAACAATTTGCCATTGCCATTAAGTTGGATCCTACTCATAGCTGACTCTCCAGCATGTTTTAAGAGGCTGTACATTACATGAGAGGAATTTGCACGCTTTCTTCTGAAGGGCAGTTGGTGGATTCAAACCTCTTGCCTTTGGGTTGACACTACAACTCCTTAACCATCAGCTACCAGAGCTCTTTAGTTAATGTTGAGATCAGCTGTATTGAATAGATGTAGCATAGGTAAAATGCCCAGGGAGAAGTAAACTGGGTAAAGCAGATACTTATGAAATCTTTAGAAGCATTGACAAAGCAGTGATTATGGTGGAGGTGAGAACTGTGTGATGTTTCTGGTTTTGATTTTAACTTACGAGACCTTTAGAAAAGTTACTTAATCATGTTGGTCTTCTTAGCTATAAAAGCAAGGAATTTGGTTATATACTTTTCATCTAATGTTTTTATGACTTTCTCTTCTGTTTTTCCTTTCTTTTTTTTAGAGACTAGCCGCTGAAGGTAATAGTGTATAATTTCCCCACAGGGCAACTGAATTAATACCTTTTACTTAACAGGGATTCTCCTGATGAACTTCCTGTGTATGTTGGTACAAATGAAGCAAAGAAAAATTGTGTAATTGCTCAAAGCGGAGATAATGTGTTTGCTGCAATCAAGTAAGGAAATAATTCAATCCCTCTTATGAGTTTCTAGTTATGTTTCTAATTTTTTAGAATATCATTCTATTAAGGGATGGTAGGAGTAAGCAAAAAAAAAATATGTATTTCCATAGATCGGTTCTGTGACTTTTTTCCAGAACAGATGTGATAGTCTTACTTACACTCCTGTTACTTTACACTTAAAACAAAAAACCAAACTCTGGTCTACTGGCAAGAAGCTGCATGCAATCCCAATAGCATGCAGTTCAAAGCCACCAGCTGCTCTGCCGACAAAGGATAAGCAGTCTCTTCCTGTGAAGTTAACTGTCTCTGAAAGCCCACCAGAGGGTCAGCTATGGACTGGTTCCGGCTCTACCGTAAACAACAACAAAATTTTAATCTTGACTTCAGTTTTCCCAGGGCAAAACCTGAATTAATGAGCTTTCTTTTAGACATCTGATTTAAACACTGTTACAAAGTTTCAATATAAGAACAAACTGTACATATTTCAAACAAAAGTTTTATAGAGCAAAGCAGCTTCTTATAAAATCATTGGCACAGCAGGCTGAGCGTGGAGGAATGACCACTGTGCCGCAGAACTAGCTCATGAATGGTGTTTATCTCTACTACTATCAGGAAGCTAGGACCTCAAGACTGCTGACCTGCTGATTTCTTGAGGCATGAACTACTTCCTCTTCCCAGAACACTGGTTGTTTTTTTGTTTGTTTTTACATTTTTTTTTATTTTAATGAAAGTTTACAGAGACTTAGGGTTTCCAGTAATTCATTGTTGTACTTGGCTCACCCTCGCCCCCGCAATTCGCCCTTCTCTTTAAAAAGTAAAAGAAAAACTTTCATTGTTATGCAATCCCTACCTCCACGTCCACTCCACTGTGCAGCCTTCATTTTGGACTCCTGTCATGACAGTAATACCCAATCATATATCCCTTTTAAACAGTTCTCCCCTCATCTGTTGCAATGCAGTGTATATCATTCCTCCCCTCCTTCTGTCTTCCCTCAACCCGGATGTCCGTCCGTTTTACAACAGTGGCCCTATATAATATTTGTCCTTTTGTGACTGAGATATTTCACTCAGCATAATGTCCTCCAGGGTCACCCATTTTGAATAATATTTCATGAGTTACTTGTTTTTCAATGTTCCATTATGTGAATATACCAGAGCTTCCTTATCCATTTGTTTGTTGATGGGCGCTTGGGTTGTTTCCAGCTCTTTGTTATTGCAAACAAAGCTTCAGTAAACATGGGTGTGCATATATCTGCTTGGGTGGTAGTGATGGTTTCTTTAGGGTATATTCCCAGTAGTGTAATTGCTGGGTCAAATGGTATCTCTGTTTGCAACTTTTTGAGAAAGCTCCATACAGCTTTCCATAGTGGTCGCACCATTTTACACTCCTACAAACAGTGAATAAGGGTTCTAGTTTCTCCACAACCTTGCCAGCAGTTGATATTTGCTGCTCTGTTAAATTTTGCTATTCTTACTGGAGTGAGGTATCTCCTAGTTATTTTGATTTGTATCTCTCTTAGAGCTAGGGATTTTGAACATTTCTTCATGTGTTTGTTGGCCATCTGAATGTCATCTTTGGTAAAGTGTCTGTTCATATCCTGTGCCCATTTTTCAGTTGGGTTATTTATCTTGTTGTGGTGCTCAAGTATTTTATAAATGCTAAATAGAAGTCCCTTGTCTGACATGTCATTACCAAATACTTTTTCCCAATCTGTGGCTTCCCTTTTTATCCTGTTGGAGAAGTTTTTGGTGTGCATCCAGAACACTATGTTTGATAGAACCTGAGCCACTACAGTGATACCTGTGCCTCACCTCTCAAAACCTTCCCTAAGCTAGAAACCACCTTTCCTAAATTACATTTCCCTAAGCTAGGGACCAGATACTACAATCTCCTGATACTGGTGCTATAGAGCAGTCAAATGCCAGTGCAGTTGTGGTTGTGCTCACTGGAAGAAATAGCAGAAGCACAGCCTCCAACTGTGTATCAGCTCTCGTGGATTCTAACAGCAGTTTTGTTAGCAGGCTGAAATGTTACTTGGTGTGAATCTGCCATCCACTCCTCAGGAGAAAGTTGGTCAGTCTCCTTCCTGTGAAAATACACAGCACTGGAAATTGATGGAGGGTTGCCTGAGAAATACTATGGAATTGAACAAGCTGGTTGATACTCTTATCAATTAGACAAGACTTCATACTCTTTGTAGCAATTAAAATAGTCAGTAATTAAGTGACAATTTTATCAGTTCCACCAAAATAAGGAATTTATTTTATATGACTTCTTTTAATAACAAACAAGTTCGTCCTAGAAAGGGTGAAGCCGGGCTGCTCCTTGGAGGCAAGGATTCTGAAGCTTCATCTGACATACTTTGGACATATTGCAAGGTGGGATCAGTCCTTAAAGAGGGACGTCATGCTTGAGAGGGTGGAGGGACAGTGCAGGAAAGGAAGACACTCAATGAGATGGATTGATTCAGTGACAGAGGTAACGGGGGTAGGTGTATTAGAGATTGACACCAGATAGAGCAGGGTTTAGGGCTCTTGTACATAGAGTCGCTATGAGCCACAGGCAACTTGACGGCACATAACAACAATATGAAAAGAAAAAAAACAAAACTTTTTACCAATGAGTTGATTTTGATTTACGGTGAACCAGTAAATTTCAGAGTAGAGCTGTGCACTGTAGATATTCAGCTGTTAAGCTCTTAACAGAAGTCAATTGCCAGGGCTTGCTTCTACTTCTTTGCTGGTGGAGTTAAACACCAAACTTTCAGTTAGTTTTGCTAGCTGTCATCAGGTCAGCTCTGACTCAGTGGCCCTATATCCAACAGAACAAATCTTCAAAGAGGATATTTCATCTAGGCATAATTCTTCTTAAGCATTATATTTCATATATACATAAACTTCTACTGAAAAGAATGTTCTAGACAAGAAAACAGTATGAAGGGCCTATATCCCATGTCAGAGAGGTGGAGGAAGGCTATAAAAATGGACTGACTCCTGTGGACCAGACAGGATCAGATTTGTTTTTTATGGTTAATTTAAGTGTTCTCTCGATATAACTTGTTGTGATTTAAGGTAACGTTTAGTATAACTGTGTACACTCTATTTAAAAGACAGTGATAGTGGGGTTCTAATTTGATTTATCAGTTTCTGTAGCACTCTAATCCATCCTTAATGGCTTCATTATACTGTTTTATATTGTTTTGTATTCTGTTGGCAAAAATAATTTGTTTATGATCAGATAGGAAATTATTTATTTTGTGCCTCTGTTTGTTGATCTGTAAAATGGAGATGAGAGTAGCACCAACTGTAACATGCATTTTGGGAGTCTACTGTAAGCTCCCAAAATCGGGGAGTGAGTATTTGAGAGAGTTCTCCCTCGGGTGTCTCATTGCAGAGAGGGGATGACTGGCCTCTCCCACTGAGTCCTCCCAAAACCTTCCTGAAGTTGTACAGTTTTTGAAAACATTATTTCTTAACTGACATTAACATGTATTGCAGTATTGGCAGTCCTTTAAATATACTTTTGGATAGTCTTTTTGTATAAGCTTAAAAGGTCAGTTTGCTCTCTTTTTGCATTTTCTAAATTTATCTTAACATAAATGTACCTTTTTTTTTTTTAATGGTAACTTAAACATTTTAACAGCATGGTATGATTCTTTAAAAAATGTTTTTTTGAGGCGAGCTCTGGTGGCCTAGTGGCAAGAAGCTACACTGCAATCCCAGAGGTGTGTGGTTCAAATCCACCAGATGCTTTGCTGGAGAAGGAGGAATAATCTCCTCCTGTACCTGTCAAATCTGATTTGACGGTACACAAACACAAACATACACACACACACAAATAATAAAAATATTATTTAAAAAAAATGTTTTTTGAGAGTCTACATACTACTTTTTTTCCTCTTATGACAGACTTCTCCAAAGGAATAAATTTGATAACTTTAGTTTTTTAAATATCTCTTGTAGTTTTTTTGCACATATTAGCAGGATAATACAAACTTGAATCATGTTTATTATCTCTGAGTGGCAGCTTTTTAGTCCCTTATTTAAAGAAATCTGTGATTTTGAGAGTTTTGGAGATTATTCTGTAGCATTTTTCTTGCATTGAATTAAAAATTTCCAATATCCAATGTTCTGTTTTCTAGTATTGTGGCCAGCAGTATAATGAGAGATTTTGCTCCTTTTTTAGGTTATTTCTGATGAAAAAGTTTAAAGATATAGCAGATAAAAAGCAAGCTCGTCTTTTGAAGAGCATAGATGAAGAACTCACAGAAGCAGCCAGAGAACTTGGTTACTCACTCGAACAGAAGACCTTGAAGATGAAACAGAGAGACAAGAAAGTATGACCTTACCTGTTAGCTCTCACTGTTTTGTTGTTAAATATTCCCCCCCCCCCTTTATTCTGTCCCACTTTCACCTTCTCTTTCTTTTCTTTAGCCCCAGGGTCAGGAGAACTCTCTGGAGGCCACCCCTCAGGGTCTTCCTCCAGAGTCTGCCTCTGTCCCAGCCCCAGGCATGCCAGGCAGCTAATGCTAAAGGAGGAGTTGTACAGCTCCTGAAGGCTGTTAAAAGGCTGAGTCACCAGCATTCTCACACAAGTTGTATCACTGCTGTGACATCAGTGCTCGTGTTTACCTTTATCCTGCTAGGTTTCAATCTGTTGTTCCTAGGGTTGCTATGACTCCTGGTTAACTCACCACCACCTAACACGATAATGGTAATTTTCACTCCTTTAATCATTTCATGTGAGCAGCTTTATACATATTGTGCACTTTTAACAGCTTTTCTCTTTCTCTCTGTGATACTAAGATGTCTTACTGGTTTGGGGGTAGTTTTGTAATGGTATGCTTAGAGTTGCTCTAGTTAAGGGTCTCAACTACAGTTCCTTTGTGAGAGACAATGTATATTAAGATGTGTTCATTTTCTTCCTATAAGTGAGTTTCTAAACAGTCCTACCTCCCTGACCACATTCACTTTTTTTAAACTAGAACTGCTGGCTTAATCCACAGGGCGTTCTGCTGCTTCTCCAAAGGCAGTGCCTCTCAGGAGGTTTCACATCCACTAGCAGCTCTGGGGAGGAAGCTAGGCAGTCTCCTCCCTTGTGATTTACAGCCTCTGAACCCCCTCTGGTTTTCAGCTGCTTTTTAGCTGTTAGTCTGTTCACACTTGACAGCAGTGAGCTGGATAGTGGGAGTGGAAAGGAGAGAAGGAGGGGACCCATTGCCATCAAGTTGTAATCAACTCATAGCTGACTCTCCATTGGGTTTCTGAAGGTGTAAATCCCAATTGGAGAGATTGCCTATCTTTCTTCATGGAGTTGCTGGTGGATTCAAACCATCAGAGACATGGCCATGGGGTCAGCCCTACAACTCCACGGACTGTGCTACGACAGCTCCCTACTCTGATACCAGATAACAAATAAAAAGCACCTTTATAAATGGCAGCTCCCTGTGGTGGTTTTGAATGTAAAATTTTTAATTACCCTGTTTGATCACTGTAACAAATCTACAGGCAAAGTAATTACCATCCTGTTTTGTAATAAGTAAAATGGGCTTTCTAGAAACTTCATACTTTGTCTAAAATCATAAATGACCAGGTCAAGACTTAAATTCACACACTTGGAATTCTCAACCTATCTTCTCGCTAATTCGCTGTATTCCGTTTTGTAAATCTCTTTACTTTTTTATGACTGGATCATTCAAAATTGGCTTAATGAGGAGAAATGAGGGTCTGTTAGCCCATCCACCTGATTCTGATGATAACACATCGATCTAAGTTTGTAATTTTTCACAATGAAGTTACTAGTAGGATTCTGGTGGCCAAGTGGCAAGAAGCTGTGCTGCAATCTTGAAAGCACTAGCTGCTCTGCCGTCTCCTCCTGTGCATTTAACTGCCTCTGAAAACCTGCGGGACAGTCAGCTGTGGGTCAGTTCTGACTCCATGGTACACAACAACAAGAAGTAGGATTCTGATTTGTTGGTAATTTATACCTCTTTGTAGAAGTTGATATAGTTAATCATCTGTGAAAATACATGTAGATATCATGGTTTTTGTTGTGTGTCATTCAACGTGACTCAGGAGAGGATAATCAATATCAGTAGTTGTATCACTATCTTCCTTATCTTTGCTTTTGATAAGTTATTGACATGTGTTTTTGTTTTTCACTTGTCTGTATTGTGAGTATTGTTTCATACTGCTAAATTTGAGATCTTTGTTATAATTTTAAGAGGCTCTGGAGCCCTGATGGCACATTGGATTGTTGTTATGTGTCATCGAGTTGCCTGTGACTCCTAATGACCCTTTGTACAACAACCCTAAAACCTGTGCCACTCTCACTGTCTTTGACACACCGACTCCCATTATTCCAGTCACTGAATCAATCCATACTGGATTAGGCATCAGTAAATTAACCGAAAAGATTAAGAAAGAGATTCAAACTCACCAGCAACTCTTTGTGGGAAAAATGTGGCAGTCTGCTTTCTGTAAAGATTTATAGCCTTGGGAACTCAGAAGGGGCAATGCTGCTCTGCTCTGCCCGGCTGGATCACTATGACATTCATTGACTCAAACACTGGGCTTGGTTTTGGGTTCTTAAAAAGTACTTTGCTTACATTCAAAGTGTTGTTGTTAGGTGTCCTTGAGTCAAGTATAGGTCTTAGTGAATCTGTGAACACATATCTGAACCCTGTCCTATCTTGCACGTCCTTATATTCAAAGATGCACATGAACTTAAACAACTCTGATGACTCTGCCATAAATATCCTTTTATATCCTTATTTAAACATATTGTTGTTGTGTATTGTTGAGTTGGAATCGACCCATAGCTGACCCTCCTGCAGGTTTTCAGAGGCAATAAATTGCACAGGAGGAGATTATTCATCCTTTTCCCGTGGAGCAGCTGGTGGATTCAAGTCATGCACAGCTTCCACTAGGCCACCAGACCTATGCCTGATTATCTCCTCAGACAAATTTCTTAGATGTAGTATTGCCAAGACAAAAGTGGTTATAGTGTTTTGGGGGGTGTGTATGTTTCTGTTTGAAACTGCCTGTTTTAGGAGTTTAATACCAGTTTACATTCTCACCAGCAAGGTATTAAAGTGACTTTTTGCCCATACTTTTTTACTAGAGCTGTGTATTCAGCCTTTTAATATTTTCTATTCTGATAGTTGTAAAGTGTCACATTGTTTTGATTTACATTTCTAGGTTTATGAAATTATGTTAAATACTTTTCACCTATCTGGTGGCCATAAGTACTTCTGTGATGTCTAAATTTGGTCCATTTTATTATGAAGATTGTAGTCTTTTTCATTTATATTTTTAAGTGTTAGTCTTTTCCTTTATTTCTAAGACTATCTTTGGTAGTCTAAAGATGATAATCTTGATTCGTTTTACTGCCGTGTGTAAGCAGCCCTAATGATGTAGTGGATTAAGCATGGAGCTCTGAGTCCACCAGCCACTGTGCAGGAGAACTAGGAGGCCACCTGCTCAGTTAAGGCTCTACAGCCTTGGGAACCTGACGAGAAAGTTCTGCTCTGTTGTGTGTGGCCACAGTGATTAGTAATGGACTTAATGTCAAGGGCACGTCCTGTAGTTGCAGGTAGTTTTCAACAGTTTCTCTTAAAATGGTTCTTAATATTTTTATCATTTATTATTGTTGATTCTGTAAATTGCTTTCTTCTCTAATCCAAGATAAGCAAATATTTTCATATAAAAGTTTTATTTTTCCAGTAAATTTTCTAATTTCTCTGTAAATTCTTTTGGAATGAAAAATAAGATATATGGATATGATTTCCTTTATTCCCTCAAATGGAGAATGAAGACTTCTTTTGAATAATCTGCTCTTGATGTTGATTGCTGTCAAGTTGAGCACAATTCATAGCATCTCTTAGGAACAGAAGACCTGAAGCCTTTCTATAACTATTTTCGTTTCTCAAAGTTTACAGAGTTTCCAGAAGTATGTTTAGAAAGTGGACACCACTCCTGCTTCTAAACCTGTCTTAAACTGGGGGGTCCACTAAACACTGTCCGCCAGGGTTAACTGTTATGGTATTTGACACTTCAATGGTACAAGGTTCAGCATCACAGCAACACCAGGTTACTTGAGTACAGCAAATTGACAGAAGTGTGCTGTACCACTTAGAAGAATGTTCCTTCAAAATAAAAGAACTGACTTTTAAGTACAAAGGCCCTCCATGAGGTCTTGTTGACTCTAACCAAGAGACTTAATAAAAAAAAACCAATATAATATATTGCTACTAGTAGCGTAATAAAAGATGATGAAAGAAGTAAGAGAATAGGTTATTAGTTAGAAGTAAGTTTTCAAATGAAAAGACTGAGGAAAGATTATTTTACCATTAGAGTTGAGGCTGTGTCCTTCCTAATAGGTTGTGTAAAAAAAGCTGACTATTTTATTAAGGAAAGACCTGAGTAAAGCCAGATTAATGCCACCATTGTGACTAAGAAGAATATGATGCTGTGTGTGGTTAGACCTGTCACTGTCTTTGAAAATTAAGAAAAGCTCACCTATTAAATGATCTGCCTACATACAGGTCACCACAAAACTAGAAATAGTCCTAATTTGGGGAATTTTGTCAGTAAGCATGAGTATTCCAGAGAAAAGGGATGGAAGACTGAAATTGGCAAGGTGGATGAGAAGAATTCTACCTTACGAACAAAAGCAATTTTTTTAGACTTAGAATTTATGGTTTCTACCTAGGGATATTGTAGCTGATGTTAGATGGATCTTAGCTGAAAGCAGGGAATACCAGAGGAATGTATATCTGTTTCATTGACTATGCAAAGTCGTTTGACTGTGTGGATCATAACAAAACTGTGGCTGGCTCTGAGAAGAATGGGAATCCCAGAACACTTGATCGTGCTAATGAGAAACCTATACTTGGACCAAGAGGCAGTTGTCAGAACAGTGCAAGGAAACACTGCATAGTCCGAAATTGGGAAGGGAGTATGCCAGGCATGTGTCCTATCTCCATACTTTTCAACCTGTATGCAGAACAGATTATCCGGGGGGGCTGGGCTCTATGAGGAGAAATGTAGCATCAAGATTGGTGGGAGATCTATCAACAATCTGTGATATGCAGATGATACAACCCTACTTGCTGAAACTGAGGAGCAGCTGAAGTGCTTGCTGCAGAGAATCAAGGACTGCAGCCTCCAATATGGATTGAGGCTCAATGTCAAGAAGATAAAGATTCTCACCACTGGCAGCCTTAGGATGGATGGTGAAGAGATTGAGATTGTTCACAGCTTCAGTTTGCTTGGCTCCACTGTCAACACTCTCGGCACCAGCAGCCAGGAAATTAGAAGACATATTGCCATGGGAAAGTCAGCTGTTAGGGACCTCTCCAAAGTACTGAAGAACAATGATACCTCTTTGGAAACTAAGGTGCGTCTGATACAGGCCATGGTCTTTGCTATCACTTGTTATGCATCAGAGAGTTAGACAATGACTAAGGAGGATAGAAGGAGAATTGATGCCTTTGAGCTGTGGTGCTTGAGAAGCATATTGAGGGTACCATGGACTGCTAGGAAAACAAACACATTCATCCTGGAAAGGGTCAAACCGGACTGCTCCTTGGAGGCAAGGATTCTAAGGCTCCGTCTAACATACTTTGGACATGTTGCAAGGAGGGACAGGTCCTTGTAGAGGGACATCATGCTTGGTAGGGTGGAGGGACATCGCAGAAGAGGAAGGCCCGCTATGAGTTGCATTGATTCAGTGACTGGGGTAATCGGGATGCGTGTGTCAGAGACGGTGCGATTGGCACAGGACAGAGTAGAGTTTAGGGCTGTTGTACATAGGGTCGCTATGAGTCACAAGCGACTCGACGGCACATAACAACAACCTCCTAGAAGATACATCAAGAAATTGGTTATTGGGATTGATTGTAATTAAATCAGAGATTTGCCTCAAGTAACAAGATGGATTGGGTTTCTTCCCTGACAGAGCCGGATGTACACTTCTAAATGACCAAAACGATGAAACTCACTCATTTCACTGCTTTGTAATTGTGTTACGGGATTTGCTTTTAAATAATTTTGGAGAAAAAAACCCCCTAGTGTTCAGATTTATTGAAATAAAATATCAGAATTGAATTCTGGCAGAAATGTTGAAGTTTTCTTACAGTGATTCCATTTTCTTTTCCATTAGGTTGTAACAAAGACTTTTCATGGTGCAGGTTTGGTCGTCCCAGTTGATAAAAATGATGTTGGGTACAGAGAGCTTCCTGAAACAGATGGTAATGTACTACATATGTAAATATGATCATATTTTAGTGTGTGCGTGTGTGTATATATATAGTTGTTGATTGCTGTCGCGTTTGAGCATGACTCATAGTAACCCTATGAACAAAAAGGCCTAAAGATCCTCTACAACTATTGATATTTATCAAAGTTCATAGAGTTTCCAGAGGCATGTTATTTAGGAAGTGGATACCATTCCTGTTTCCTATATATATTTATTTTTTTTATATTTATAGAAATTTTTATTGCTAAACTTTTGTAAATTTTTTTGTTAACATGACTAGGTTAAATTGCTGATTTAAATCACAACAATCCATAAATATCTTAGCCACTTTCCCCTTTGAGGTTTCCTGTGATAATATTTTTAACATGGCAAATCAGATGTTCTTTATTGTACAATTTTTGTGTCCTGATTCACTGTGTCTTATGAATATTAATGTTCACCCAGCTCTTTAAAGTAGTTCTAACTTCCATTTCACTGTAGATTCAGAAAGTTTTGGCAGAAAATGAGGGAGCTGAATCTCAAACTCTGGCTCTCTGGCTTTGGAGTGCATGCTGCTCCTGCTGCTGTTGTGTTTAGATGCTGTTGAGTCGAGCATGACTCATAGCAACCTCGTGAACAACAGATCCGAATCCTGTCCTACCCTCACAATCTCTGACATACTCGAGCCCACTACTGCAGTCACTGTGTCTATCAGGTTGAGTCTTCCTCTCTTTTCACGGCCCTTCCACCTTTCCAAGCCTGATGTCCTCTTCAAGGAATAGCCTCTCCTGGCAACATACATGCCCAAGGTATGTGAGACAAAACTTTATCATCATTGCCTCCGAGGAGCATTCTGGCTGCACCTTCCCCAAACATACCTATTTGTTCTATTGACAGTCCATGGGATATTCAGCACTTTTCTCCAGTACCACAGCTCAAGGGCATCAGTTCTTCTGAAAGCATCCTTATTTATTGTCTAGTTCTCAGATGCATAACAGGTGATTTAAAAGACCATGGCCTGTTTCAGGTGCACTTTAGTCCTCAAACTGACATCATTACTCCTCAATAATTTGAAGAGGTTCCTGACTGCAGATTTTCCCAGTGTAATATGTCTCCTGATCTCCTAAGTGCTGCTACCAAGGGCGCTGACTGTGCAACCAAGTATGATGAAGTTGACAGGTTCTAATCTTTACTCCATCTATCATAATTTTGCCTATTTGTCCAGTGGTGAGAGATGTTTTCTTGACATGCTGCTGTTAAGTGGTGTTAAGTCATTTTCAACTCAGTGTCTATGGGACAGAGTGGAAAATCTAACTTATCTACTACGCTTCAGTCAGGGGGAGATATCCAAGGTCTTTTTCTTCAGTAATGGATGAATTTAAATGACCACCTTTTTGATTAGGGAGCTTAAATAGCCTAATGGGCAAAGAAGTTGTGCTGCCAGCCAAAATTGAGCCGTCTGAGTCAACAGCAGCTCTATGGGAGAAAAGATGGGCAGTCTCTTTCCTTTTAATTTACAGCCTCTGAAACCCACTGGAAGGTCCCCTTATGAGTCAGTTTCAACTCCACTGCAATGACTGTGACCTTTATTTTTACTTTCTTGTTAACAGCCAATTGCTAAAACCATTGCATCCCAGGGCTGTTTTCTCCCAATGATAGAATACTTGTTTAACTAGTTGCATAAATTCTACCATTGGGAGTGAGGGAGCTCTGGTGGCCTAGTGGCAAGAAGCTGCACTGCAATCCCGAAGGTGCATAGGTCAAATCCACCAGGTGCTCTGCTGGAGAAGGAGGGGCAAATTCCTCCTGTGCCAGTCAGATCCAATTCGACATTACACCAAATTTAAAAGAAAGATAAAAAAAAAAATGCTACCACTGTGACATCGCTCAAGTATTCCAGTAGCTGTTGGTGCCATGCAGTCAAATACAACTCATAATATCCCTATAAAGAGCAGAGCAGATCTTGTCCTCTATTGCACCATTCTCAATATCTCAGGCATATGCAAACCCACTGTGGCAGTTATTGTGTTAATTCATCTCACTGAAGGTTTTCCTTTCACTGGCCCTGTCTTTTCCAGCATGGTATCTTTATTCAAGAACTGATACCTCCTGACAACATGCCCTGAGTAGGTGAGATGAAGCTTCACCACCCCTGCCTCCAAGAATCCCCCTAATTGCAGTTCTTTCAAAATAGACTTGTTTGTTTTGGCTTTCATTGAACATTCAGTACTCTTCACCAAAACCACAATTCAAAGACATTGATTCACCTTTGGTCTTCTTTGTCCAATTCTGACATGAATATGAAGCAATTAAAAATACCATGGCTTGGGTCAGACATTACTTAAACTGACATCCTTGTTCTTTAGCACTTTAAAGAGGTCCTTTACTGCAGCTTTGCCCAGTGCAGCATGTCTTGATACCTTGACTTCTGCTGCCATGTGTGTTTATTATGGATCAAGCATGACAAAAATCACTGACAGCTTTAATCTTTTTTCCATCTATCATAGTGTTGCCTATTTACCCAGTGGTGAGGATTTTTATTTTCTTGACATTGAGATATAATTCAAATGCTTCAAGCCATCTTCACTATTTGCAAGCAAGGTTGTGTATCTGCATAACTGTTGATGAGAATGCTCCCGGCCTGCAGCACATTCATTACATAGCCTTGCTTCTTGAATTATCTATTTGAATAGGCATAGAGAAAGGATCTAAATCTAGCACAACTTTCTCCATTTTAAACCAACTTTCTTTTCCAGTAACTGCATCTTGGTCTCTGTATAGGTTTCACATGAGCACAACTAGGTGTTTCGGGATTATAATTTTTTTAATGTTATCCATAAATATAATCAACACATATTCCTTTGTATAGGCAATACAACACAAGTAAAAATATTTCTGGTATTCTCTGATTTTAATCAAGACCCAGCCATCATCAGCAATGATAATTCTTTATTCCACAGCCTTTTCTGAATTCAGTTTGAATTTCTGGCAGTTGCCTATGTACTGCAAGCCATTTCTGAGTATACCTCAACATTTTTAATTGAGTCTGATAAAGTACTAATGTTGATTAAGAATTCCAGTAGCAGTGGGGATAAAATAAGGATTGTTGTTGTTGTTGTTATGTGCCGTCGAGTCACTTGCGACTCATAGTGACCCTATGTACAACAGCCCTAAACTCCGCTCTGTCCTGTGCCAATCGCACTGTCTCTGACACTCCCATCCCAATTATCCCAGTCACTGAATCAATCCACCTCATAGAGGGCCTTCCTCTCCTGCGCTGTCCCTCCACCCTCCCAAGCATGATGTCCCTCTCCAAGGCCCGGTCTCTCCTCACAACATGTCCAAAGTATGTTAGACAGAGCCTCAGAATCCTTACCTCCAAGGAGCCACCTGGTTTAACCCTTTCCAGGACAAATCTGTTTGTTTTCCTAGCAGTCCATGGTATTCTCAATACTCTTCTCCAGCACCACAGATCAAAGGCATCAATTCTCCTTCTATCCTCCTGGTCATTGTCCAACTCTCTGATGCATAACAAGTGATTGTGAAGACCATGGCCTGTATCAGATTCACCTTAGTCTCCAGAAAGACACCATTACTCTTCAGTACATTGGAGAGGTCCCTAACAGCAGACTTTCCCATGGCAATGCGCCTTTTAATTTCCTGGCTGCTGGTGCCAAGACTGTTGACTATGGAGCCAAGCAAACTAAAGCTGTGAACCATCTCAATCTCTTCACCATCCATCCTGATGCTGCCAATAAGTATTCAAAATCACTAAATCTTTTGAGTAGCAAAGAGACTTTCATTTTCTGAGTTAATTAAAGTTGTACTTGGTTATTTAATAAAGTTATTCTTGCAGTTTTATAGAAATTCTGTTAAATGACTTTATGAAGTGTTTTCCTGATAGAACATATTTCTTCTCACACTAGTGATATGCTAATGTTTTCATCTATGTTCTTCAATATTCTTTTCAGCTTAGTAACTGTCTTAAGTTGGTTTCTCTTTTCTTGTTCATACGACTTTTTCAGAAGTAAAATCCTCAAAGTGAATTCTTTGCTTTTTCATACTTTCAAGAGGTCTTACAGAAGATTTGCCCAATTGCAGTAGTTGCTTATTTCTTGGCTGCTGCTTCCATGGTGGTTGATTGAGGATCCAAGCAAAGTTGAATCTGTGACAACTTGAATCTTTTCTGCATTTATCATGATGTTGTTTATTGGTGCAGCTGTGAGAATTTGTTCGTTAAGGTGTAATCCATACTGCAGGCCTTAGTAATTGGTCATCAGTATGTGCTTCCAGCATCAGAGCAAATTACAAGCTATCGCAGTATGACAAATTGGCAAATGAGTAGAGGAGAATGAAAATATAAGATGAAATCTGTCAGCTCAACTCATTGCCATTAACCCATTGCTGCAAATGACGGTAATACATTAAAAAAAAAGTGTTTCTAAGCACAGTTGTCAATTTAAAAGTGTGAGGCAGTGTGTTAAGTTGGAACCAACTCAAAGCTGACCCTTCATCAAGTTATCAGGGGCTGTATGTAAATCACATGACAAGCTATTGCCAGTTTTCTGCAGAGTGGATTCGAACCACCCACCTTAAGGTTGTCAGCACAACTTTCTACCCTCTAGGTTACCAGAGCTCCCTAAAGTGAGTAATATAAAAGTGGTTAAGACTCCACTCTGTCAAAAGTTTAAAAAAAATTGAGAGACCTGGAAAAGGCAGGCAGTCAAGTTTTTACTTTTACAGGTTTCACAGTATCAGAAATTGATAAGCTAGAAATTATTTGCTAACTGGTGACCTAGTGGCAAGAAGCTGTGCGGCAATCCCAAAGACACATGGTTCGCATCCACCGGCTGTCCAAGGGAGGATGGTCAGTATCTCCTGTGCGATTTAACTGCCTCTGAAAACCTGCTGGGAGAGCCAGCTCCGAGTCAGTTCCAAAACAACGATGTCTTGACTTCCATGCCAACTTCAACTGATTTGTAGTGGTTCCAGTTACAGATTTTTAATAAGGTAGAAAAGAACCTAATTTTCTGTGCATAAGAAAAGATTTTTGAATGAAGTCTGATCTGGTTTGATGAGCACAGGTTTGTTTGTGGGGTGGGGTTTTTGTTGTTGTTGTTTTGAAGAGGGAATAAAAGGCCATTAAGCTAATGCTCGGTCATTTAGTGTTTTATATAGTTCAAACCAGTAACTATATCCCTACAATTGATAAAGGAGACTTGGAGGTCTCCTGCAAAATGAAATGGTGGTCAGGAGTTCAAATCCACCAACACTCCAAGGAAGACAGACAGCTTCAGAAATCTCTGCTAGGTTACCATGAGTCGTACTTCATGACAGTGGATTTGGTTGTGGGTTTTTAGAGTGGGGTTGTTTTTGGTTGGTGGGTTGTGTTTTCTGATAGATAGCTGTGGATATTTAACATATGGCCCTCAAGTAGGCACCAAATCATGGCTGACCCTCCAGCAGTTTTCAGAGGCTGTAGTAGCAAGGAGATTGCTTATCTTTCTTCTAGGAAGCCAGTGGTAGATTTGAACCCCTAGGGATGAAAGGCCTCTGGTTTAGCAGTGCAGCTCACTATGAACTCCACTAAAAGGTATAAAGTGTTGTCCCTTGATATGATAATGATCCACCAGTTGGGAACCTCACATGCAGCATGCGTGTTTTTTGGACATCGTTACGGAATAAAATATGTGTCATTAACTTGAGGTAGGTTTTGCAGGCCATCTGAGGTCTCTTGTTATATATTCATGCACTCACTTTTTCTTGGTGCATATATATATGTGTGTTTTTGCTGTCACTTAAAACTGGGATAGCCTTTTACTTGAGAGCAATTCAAGATTCAGTTATGATGAGCCTTTGGCCTAGCCTACTGAAAAATTTTTAAAGTTTTAAATAAAATCAATGCAACAGAGATGTTTGTAAAGTCACATTTTGTAGCTTTTGCAAGAAAACTTTTTTGTTAAACCATTTTTATGGTCAAGTCTTAAAAAGAAAAATCATAAGATTGCTATTCTGGACCATAGTGTTACAGGTTTCCACTATCCAAGGCAGCATTAATTATACCAGTGAAACAAAGTCATATGAGGAAAAAGCCCAGCTTACAGTCATTTAACCTTAAGGATGGACTTAAGTAATCTTTTTGTATTGATTGCTTTTAGCTGATCTCAAGAGAATTTGCAAGGCAATTGTTGAGGCACCAAGTGATGAGGAAAGACTGAAAGCTTTTGCTCCCATTCAAGAAATGATGACTTTTGTGCAGTTTGCCAATGATGAGTGTGACTATGGCATGGGGCTTGAGTTGGGAATGGATCTCTTTTGCTATGGTTCACACGTAAGTAAAAAAAAATTGCCTTTGTTACCATCAACTGCCTGCCCTGCCTTCACAACACATAACGACACTCAAGCACAATTTGAAATTCATTTTAAATTCTGGCAAGAGTAAATAATCAAGATTCTTTGTCTTCCAGTTTAAAGTGGTAGGGATTTGCCCTTTTTCAGTTTTTACATTTTAGTGTGGGTATGCATATACCTTTCCTTTTGCTCCATTTCTTTTTAATATTTGTTACTGTGTTTGAATTCTTAGATGGAGAACACCATTTTAAGTACAATATATTGCAAAGTAGGGTTTATTCTTAAGTGTTTTCTCATTAAATAGGAAAAAGTTTACTCATTGCAACTTGAGGACAGTGGTGGTTTAGTAATCTAAGCTTCTATCCAGGAGACCCAGGTTTGATTCCCAGTCAGTGCACCTTCTGTGGAGATAACCAACCATCTGTCAGTAGAGACTTGCATGCTATTGAACAAGTTTCTGTGGAGCTTCCACACTGTTAGGAAGAGACCTACTTGCACAACTCAATTCTGAAATCCTTGTGTATCATATTCTAAGTCTATAAGCAGCAGTTAGGAAAGATAAATGCCTACTCAACTGTGGTTGCTTAAAGATCAAATAGGCAGTGAGGTACAGTGGTGGTAATAAGCCTCTGGAGTTTAAATGCTTTAGGTTACTTCCCTGCTGAGTACTCTATAAGACTATTTCTCCAATACCTTTGTGTATGTTTCCTTCTTAAAATATAGATCATTTTCTGTACATAAACACAATTCTCATTTCACTGCAATTTATAAGACGTAAGGCATTGAATGTCAATCTGGGTCTAGCGTCAGTGTCTAAACCAATAATTTCTAAATGTGAAAATATCCTTGAATCACCAGAAGATACTGTTACAATACAGCCTTTTTAAGTAGGCTCGGGTGAGAGGCTTTGGATTCTGCATTTCTGACACACTTCATTTGTTCTACAGACCACTTGAAGGAACAAGATTGATTTTAGTAGGCATTGTAATCATCTTAAGGATTTGCTAAAGCAGACTACTGTACCCCACTCTGCAGGGTTTGATTCATGTTGGGAGTTGTTATGAGCCATTGAGTGGCCTGTGACCTATAACCTGCCTTGTCCTGAGCCAAGTCTACTAATTCTGACACACCAACCCCCCTCCGCCCCAGTTACTGTATCAATCCATCTCATCCGGGATCTTCCTCTCCTGTGCTGTCCCTCCACCCTTCCAAGCATGATGTCCTCTCCAAGAACCAGTCTCTCCTGGCCATGTGCCCAAAGTATGTGAGCTAGAGCTTTAGAATCCTAGCCTCCAAGGAGAAATTTGGTTTCACCCTCTCCAGGACAGACCGATTTGTTTTCATGGTATGTTCAAGACTCTTGGCCAGCATACAACTCAAAGGCATCTTCGAGATTCTTCTTCTGTCATCCTTAGTCATTGTCCAGCTCTCTGTAATTTTGAAGAACTTGGCCTGGATTAGGTTCACATTAGTCTCTAGATTGACATCTTTGCTTTTCAGTACTCTGGAGAGGCCAATGCAATTCATCTTTTTATTTCCTGACTGCAGGTGTTAAGAGTGTTGATTGTGGAGCCTAGCAAGCTGTGATTGTTCCAGTTCTAACAATCTCTTAGGATAGAATGATGTTATTGGTCTGGGAACAATCTGCCAGTGTACCTCTAGACCACATTTCACTTATCTCTGCCTACCGTATATATGGTGGTTATCAGTAAAATCAGTCAACATTTTTAACTGCCAGTATGGCAGCCAATGAACAATCAGAACTGATGGCTGACCCAGCTGAAATAGGCAGAGTTAGACAGCTGGAACCACTGATTAGCGAACTTGATTATTGTGAGGATTCTGCTACTGACTCGACATTTGCTTAATGCTAATGCTTAATTCTTTCTCTTTTCAGTATTTTCATAAAGTTGCTGGCCAGCTTTTACCTCTTGCGTACAATCTGTTAAAGAGGAACCTGTTTGCAGAAATTATTGAAGATCATCTGGCAAACAGAAATAGAGAGAACCTAGACCAGCTTGCAGCCTAAGTAAGAGGTGTTGACTGTGGGGTATAATTTAAAGCATTAGTATTAAACTTGCCATTTTTATTTTTGTTTTTAAGGAATACAGAAAATAAACTGATGGAAACATTTGCTAAAAAACAAAGCTCTTCAGGCCTGTGTTGGTTTATTTTATGGTTATTTTGGATTTTTTCCATGTGCAATAAATGACTGTCAATTCATTCAAGTGGTGAGGCCCTTGTCACATTTTGGAAGACAACGAAAATCACGGTCAGAGGAAGTTGCTGCCTAAAGCCTGGATAAGCAGGCTGTCTTTCCTGCCCAGAAGTCCTGTTTCAGAAAGTAAGAGATGGATAAATAATTTCTTTCCTAGGACGGCTATTACATACATCCATACATCCTTTAAAGATTGTTACTTTATCTTTCATTGAATCAAGATTTGCTTAGCTGGAACTACTAGATCATATATTATCTCCTTACAGTCAGTAAGTAATATGGATTCCAACAGGATTTCTGAAGGAATAAATGAAAAAGTGTAAGGGTCAGCTTCTCATCCCTTCCCTATACAATCCTAGCAACAAGTGTAACTTTAGAAAACGGATTATAACCAGAGCCTGACAGAAATTAGAAACTAATACCAAGAATGTGGCCAAGTTATAATTTTGATACTGTAGTTGTGAATAGGGGCTTCTTGTAACATTATGAAGTTGTTCCATCTCAACCATGTGTTAGAAGGCTGCTAGCATTTTTCAGGAATCTAGTTCCTGAGTACTTTTCATTAAAAAAAACAAGCTATTCCAGGATATCAAGCCTTCCTTTTTTACTTTCTCTTCACCAAAGGTGTAATTAATTTTTAGTAAAAATGTGTTGTCGGCTTATAATCTAGCCACTTCATCTAACTCTTTCATGAATGAAACACCTTGACTAAATTAAGATGTAATAGAAAATTATTATCCATTTTAAATGTAGCTAAGTTGCTTAAGATCATTAACAGCTTTTCTGTATAACCTCTGAAATACATATCTAAAATATTCTACCCAAATAAAAACTAAGCAGCAAACCAGAATGTAACTTAGTTCTCAGTAATCACCTAAATTTACTTAGTGGTTTAATCTAATCTATTAAAACTACTCTTGTTAGAATTTGTAGATAGATGATCCTTCCAATACCGTGAGCTCTCAATTCCTTACTTGTCCCTTTATCTAACAAACTATTTTTATAAATAGGTGTACTAGAACATAGCCATGCCTATTCATTTCCACTTTATGTATTGCTACAACAAAGTTAAATAGTGTGGCAGAGGCTGTGTGGCCCACAAAGCCTAAAATATTTAACATCTACTTTATATAGAAAAAGTATGTTGACCCCCCTGGTATAGAAGACTAGCCCAGTTGAGCCCCCAACTCATAAGTTACTCTTGGATCTTGTCAAGAAGACCAATAATGAAAATCTTAATTTTACCCCTCTATCGAAAAATTCCAAATGGGTAACTTCATACCTTGGCCCAATAATTTTTCTATTATGATTCACTGATTTTTTTTAAAAATGTTCAACTATTTTATACTTTCTTCCTTCATCCAGTCTTTCTCCATTATAATAATTTGCATATAACTTCATTGTTTCTCCTTCATGTGCTGTTCTTTCCTGTGAGAACCCTAAACCTGATAGAAAACCTACCTATTCCTTTATTTAATCTGCTCAGTAGCATGTAGTTGGAGGGGGCAAAACCCTACCTCCCGTAACATTTGCTCACTCTTAACCTCAGGTTGGCCAGGCTGCTGCCTTTGGATCCCATTTTATCTTTCTGCAGTTTTCATACATCACCTCCCCTAGCCTCAGTTTATTTCACTAAAGCAGAAGCAATCAACATAAATTCCCAAAATGTCACTTCTACCTACTGCCTTTATTTTGCTTTTTCTCCATTATACTGCCTTTCTCCATTTTGTTGAATGTGCTTAAGGACCCACTAGTGCCCTAAATCACACCCCCTCTTGCCTACTTAAGAGCAGTGAGTGATCTTTGATCTATTTCTGGGGGCATTCTAATCATTCACAACAACAAAAGATCTTACATCTTAAAAGCCAAACCCTTGAACCTATACTTTTTAAAAATAACTTAAAAATTATCTATACCAGTTGTCTTCCTCTCTTAGTATATCTCACACTGGGCCAGTCCTATCTGTTTTCCCTTTAAAGTATATCTACCATCTGCCAATTTTGGCTGCTTTCAGTCCTCAATACTCTCACACCTCGATTATTCCAACAGCCTCCTAACAGGTCTCTGTGTAGGCCTGTGGGAGGGAAGCGAGCTCTGGTTCCATAACCCATAGAAAGTTAAACTAAGCCAAAGGCCAGTCAAATCCACCAGATACACCAAGAAGAAAGGTAGGCATTCTCCTTGAATGTGATTGATAGCCTCAGAAATCCAGTTGAGAATCAGCTATGAGTTCATTTGGAACTAGGTTTTTTGTTAATAAGGCAGGATTATCTTGGGCTATCTCAAATCCTCTTTTGAGATACTAAAGAGATTAACAAGTAATTATAGGAGATAGATGGTAAAATAGATGCCAAGACACCTGGGGATTGTGAAGGAACCAGAGATCTGATTGTCCTACCAGAGTGAACAGAAAGCCTTCCCCTGTTTGGACTGGTAGCTTATGACAAAATAAACCTGCAGCTAAAACCATCCAATTGTGGTATTTATTTCCATTATAGCAGCACTACATAATTAAGACTGTATGTTTATCACCTTTGAGGCTGACTAAGCTATGCATATTGGCCTAAACTGCATAGAGCAGGGATAAGGTGTTACAGGTATAATTAAAGGCCAAAACACACATTGTCATATAGATTTTAATAGATTTTGATTAACTCATCACAGTAATCATTTTTACTGTAATGATCTGTAGCTTTACTACACTAGTATAAGTGAAAACAGATACAGTTCTAGGCAACATCACAGATTAACAAACTAAACATTTCTTCATGAACCAAAACTGAAAACAGTTACTAAAAAGATGCTGACACCCTTGCCCATTCTCACCATACCTTCTCAAAAAGGGTACTCAAATAAGGCGCTACGCTTACTATATTGATAAATTCATTTCCCGATTAGCCAGGCACATGTATTTCATGTTTCCACTGTTTCATAGTTTGGTTGAAAAGCCGATAAAACTGATGATAAAAATTGGAACAGATAGTGATACCAAACAAAACTGAGTGGATTAAAAATACGGCACTTTCCCTGTATTCCAGTAAGACAATCACAGAGAATGGAAATATGTCAAAGAAAAAAATGTGAAATGTCTCTAGAGGACAGAAAGTGAAAATAGGATATGAAAAGTGTGCATTTGCGTTTAATGTATAAAGCTATCTGCATGCAAATTGGTCTCCTCTTTGAAAGCTTGTTACTTAGGACAAGCAAATTATCCAGTAGCCATGCTGAACAGTCCATACCCTAGCAGTTCCTAGCACACTGCAAATACACTTAAGTTGGAGACATACAAAATTATCATTTGGAAATTGACTCAGGATAGCCAAAAGTAACTTCAAAGGAGTCACAATGGAAAATTGATGTCTGCCAAGAGAGTCACACAATCACAAAAAAGTCATTTAGGCAGCACAGTTAAAAATCGTTCCTAAAATTTTGTTCAACTTTTGACTATCATTCTCATATGGCTTCATCTTACAAATCTTGATCTTAGAACCTCAAAGAACTAGGAAGTGAAAAATCACCTCCAAAACCTAAAACTGGTTCATTTCTTGTGTCTGAGAAAATTACCTGTCTATAAAAATTCCTTTTCCTACTTAAAGATGGATAATTACAGAATATTTAGGGCAATCCTTTTGAGTATATTGCCTTTGCTGGTAGTGAATTAAAACCATTATTAAGACAGACATCTCCAAAGACAAAAAGTGTCAAACACGCTCCTGTATACTTTCAATCCATTTTGCAAAAATGTGCACTTTGGATATTCAAATCTATCATAGAGCACTTAAGTATGCATTTTATTTACCCAAAGATTCAAAAGTTCTATTCAGATTAACTTCTAAATTTTTACTACTTTAGCAATTCTGTTTTTCTATTTGTGTGTTTTGTTTTCTTTTATGGTTAAAACTAACTTCTGGTTTTAATTTGAAAAGTGACTTGTAATGTTTCAAGTTTCCAGTTAATGAGTCAAAATGGATAGATCAGAAGAGATAATCCAGGAGATGGCAGTGAAAGTTCAGAAAAAGATTTATGTACATATTGAATCATAGAGAAATAACCACTTCTTTTCAAACCCTTGTACCCACTGTAAACTTTGTTCATATGTCCATATTTGTATGTCTGAATTAGTCTATAAAAATCACATTAAAAAGGTAAAATTATTTAAGTGAGTATTAACTGATCTGTATTTTATAAATTTTAATCCATAAAAATATAAATAAGAATGGTAAATTTTTAAGAAAAGAAATATACATTTAGTGCAAGTTATGAATTACATTTCTTCAGTGTCAGCAGTAAAATATCTTGCATGGGGGGGAAGACTGACCTAATTTTAAGAAAAAATTTCCAGTGTTTCAACATGCAATTAATACCAGATACAGCTCAACAGGATACTTCATTTTCATTACTGTCATAGTAGCAGCATTTTGTTTCTTTATGTCAAACTATGTCTATCATAGTTGTTCCAGTAATAGAAAATTTGCATAAGAGCAGGTCACATTATCCATAGTCTGAGATAATGGTTGGGGGATGGAGTGGGGGGCACTCTGTTTATCCTTAAAAGTCAAGTTTTATTGTTCTTGATATTAAGCCATAGCACACAAGCTGAGATTTCACTCATGCTTCCTATCAGATTTCACCTGTTTGACCAGCCTTTGTGGTGGTGCATGTGCATTGTTCCAAGCATTTAGTGATGGTACAAACTACATAGTTAATGGCACAAGAAACACTCCCTTCCTGTGATGAAACCTCAGTAAAATCACAGTACATCTCAATATGAGAAAGGACTGCTTCAAAAGGGTATACCAGTTTAAAGAGGCTTTGTTACAGCTCGGGAGAAAGAAAAACTCTTCTGGAATGTAGAAAGGTAATGGTTAACTATACAATTCATGAATGAAACAGAACAGTTTGAATAAAAAAGGGCAAGACCTTGCAGTCTTACAGATGGCTCAATTCAAAGTGATCCTTCCAGAAACAGGGGGTGATAACATCTTTGCAATATTGGAGTAACCCGCTAGGTGCTCAAGAACTCGATGTCATCTCCACGGAGGCTTAGCCTGCACTATCACGGCAAATCCTCAGCTGAATGCATCCAGTGCAGAAACAGGAGTTGATTTGCTGTTCTCAGGTTGGCGGTGAAATACCTCATTCCTCCTCTTTCTCCTCTCCCTCCCCACAAAATTCCATCATTCCACCAGCACTGTTTGCAAACCCTGTTGCAAAAGTCCAGATTTTATATTTCTTGTCTTTTTTTTTTTTTAAGGAGGAAAAAAGTAGACGACTCCCTCAGGCTAAAGAGTTGTGCTATTCAACAAATGAACTTCCTCTTCTCTCTCCTCATCTATGGGATTCAGTTGAACATTATTGAAGCGGGGTCTTGGTTTGCCGTCTGGGCCATATGACGGAGGATATCTTTTTTTGTTATAATGCCAAGGAGGCGTCTGAAAGGGATAAACAGAAGATTGCTATTAAAATAAAAGGGAAATGTAATAGAGAAGCTAAATAAATCTACAGCTAATTCCTTTTTGTTGACAGGAATAGAGCAAAGCAAGCAGCCTGATTTCATATTTTCAAAAAATTATTTTATTGGTAAAGAAGATAAATTATCCAGCAACCATCACTTGATAAAAAAAAGTATTATGGTCACTAAGAACGTAAATTCCTTCCTACTGAGACTAAGGAGGGCATGCCTTGTTGAAGTATGCTGTGTTGGTTAATGTATGCCAACAAAAAGGGGAGATGTATGAATAGGAAATTTCTCTCATTTGAGAAAAAATTTGACTCTCAGCGCAGGAAAAAAGCCATAAAATGTTTGATAACCAAGTTCCCTCAATATTTTACTTTTTATCAAAAATCAATCATTTGAAAAGAAAAAGAAACTCTCAAAGAATGCTCAGTTATATGTAAAATCTTCATGAAAGCACATACATTTGAGATAAAATACATATAAAATGATCAAACAGAACTTCAATCCCAGACTTGAGAACATTCAGGAATAAGTCTAAAAAACAAGCCAAGTTTCTAGTACACTCATTAATGTTTTCATTTTTTTTTTCCACTTTGGCCAAAAAGTAGTAAGATACAGTGCTTTTATGAAAGTCTTAATTGTAAACACTTACATGAAAAGATAAGTGAACGATCAAGAAGCAGTCCTAAAAGATTATTACAGGTGAAGCAGAAAGCAGAATGAATGAGCAGCTAACATATTATATTGGTTAGTAGTTTTTAAAAAGGATGCATGAAACACTTGTGAAATATTAGCATACAACAGGAATACATAATCAGTTGTGTAAGCAAACTGGGACAAGTGTGTGTGTATATATAAATGACAATTGCTTGGCAAAATAATTTCAGGCATTAATTGCTAAAGCCAGACATTTTTATGTTATAATTCAAAATTTACCTTAAGTCATGAAAACACTAGGACAAAGCCAGCAAAAACAAACACATTCAACCCCCCAAAAGCTGCTTATAGCATTCTAGAAACATACAGAGGGGCACACACATAAACTAAGTACAGTTCACTAATGAAATGACAAGGACACACATTCTTGACTTTGAAGGTATGTAGGTTATAGCACAAAAAGAACAAATGATCACATATGTATATATATTATGCTGAAGTTAGTGTGACCATGAAAAATCCTATGGATTTTTATTTAACTGATCAGCAATTCTAACATTGCTAAAATCACTTATGAGCTTAGATATACCACAAATTAGGAAACATGAAAAGGAGTTTGGTGCAAGGGCAGACATTTTTATCTAGTCAGGCATCTTCTGAGATGGGTTACCCACTAATGCAGACAGACTGGTTGGGTTTACTTTATGAATGTCCAGTGATATTTTACTCATTCAATGACTAAGATGTTAATAGTTCTTAAATAACTAATGATTTTGCTTACTTTCTATGAATGGAATTCCATACATAATCTAAATTTATTTTACAGACACATTATCAGACAGAAATGCCATTGGCTGCATAGTAGGATTTTTGTTGTTCAGCAGGTATCTGGGAAAGAGCACTGAACAGTTCACAAGTTTCATGCTTCCTGACTTCTAAGGTGTCTAATGAGGAGATCTGATATATCTAATCACCAAGGGTTCGACGTGCTGCTTTAGTTGCTCGAGATGCTCTAATATGTTCTTCTTTGTGATGATCCCCAAGACAATCCTGAAACAGATCATTTTATGCTAATAACTGTGAGAAATTAAATTAAAAGAGGTTCCAATAATGATAAAGAATGAGAAGAAAATTAAAACATGAAGTATAAAAATGCTCTTAATGAACTTTAGAAAAATAAAAAGCAAAAATGATTTGAAACCCTAAGTTCCTTTTGCATAAGTTCCACTGACATTCAAAAGTGACACACTATTCTTAAATATAAAGTGAATAATGAAGATGGAAAAAAAGTGTGCAAAAGAAGCTTAATAATGAAACATAGCTAAAGACCTGAGATATGTAGTTTCATTTTCAATATTATTTCCTTAGACAAAAGTATTTTTACTGATATCTAGGATATCACAGGGCAGCTAACATTTGGATCTACTTCAGTACTCAACAGCGAAGAGGAAAAAGCTCAACTATTACTGCCTGAAAACAGACCTGAGTACTACTCATTATAGGATTAAAGGTGGACAGGAGTCTGGAACAAGAGGTGCATTGCGAAGTAGACTAGGGGAGAGGCTGGGAGGAGGGGGAGGGAAATGTGCAAGAATGAATGCGTAGTTTTTAGAAAAGGTAGGTGATGCTCAGTAAATATATGATGCTGTAACAAAACACTCCCTAATTATCAGGGACTATGAATGCACGTCTTAAACTACAGTAACAAAGCATATTTCTAATTAAGAGAAAAATTACTTTTGCTATACACTTTAATACTTTAATTATGATCATTTCTTTGTTAAAATTAAGCAGTGATGGATATGCATTTTTACAAGATATACCCTTGAAACTAATTACACTGCTTTTAATTATTAAAATTCTGGTTACCGGTTTTATAATCAAAGTCTATGAATTTGACTGCAGTGTGTGGTAATATGTTGTTATGTGCCGTAGAGTCGTTTGCAACTCATAGCGACCCTATGTACAATAGCCCTAAACCCTGCTCTATCATGTGCCAACTGCACTGCCTCTGACACACCCATCCCGATTAACCCAATCACTAGGATTACCCCAATCCATCTTTTACCCTTCTGCGCTGACCCTCCACCCTCCCAAGCAAGATGTCCCTCACCAAGGAGCCGTTCCTCCTTGCAACATGCTCTAAGTATGTCAGACGAAGCCCCAGAATCCTTGCCTCCAAGGAGTAGCTTGGTTTAACCCTCTCTGGGATGAATATGTTTGTTTTCTTGGCAGTCCATGGTACATATAGATAGTGAAAAGTGAAAAACCTTAAAAAGCTTTCCTCTTTAAACCTTAGAAGGCCATCTAACCCTTCAGGATCCTTGGGCATTTCCCTGGGGATCTGGTTAAGCTAACTTCCTCTGATCAACTGCTTCTTTTGAAAATTTTGAGTAGTGGAGGAATGTCACTAGGTAGCTTTAAAGAAGTCTGGCCTCCTGGATCTATCAGGTAGAAAATGGTGATGAGATGATAAAGGTATGGAAGGAGGGAGTGATACAATACAGGGAGTCAGGTAGTTAAAAAAAAGGCAGAAATAGGTTCTGCTAATGTTTTCTCTTTTTTACCCTTTAATAAGGTAAAAAGCTCAAGGCAAGAGAGCACCCTTCCCCCTTTAGACAAACTCAGAAACTGCAAATACAAAGTATGTACTCAATGGATGCTCCGTTCAATTCACTTGAATTTATGGCTAGAATCAAGAAAAGTGAAAATCTTGGAAAATAAAGAACACTAGTTTAATTCTTACTCATGTTTTTCTCTCTAATGCACTGATTACTTCTGGGGTATGAGAAGAGAGAGGGAGGAGTAAAATAAGGAAAGTTTCAAATTACTTGTTGTATTTAAAATGTCCCTAAAGGAAAACAGTAAGCCAAATTCAGTATTAATGATTTCAGAACATCGAATTAAAACCAATATAAAATGTGACTCATGAAGAAAATAATTTGCAGTTTTCTTTTGAACAAGCATTTTCCTCAAGTCCCATAAAATACTGATACCAGGAGATTACCACTACCAAAAGGTTGCATGTTCAAATAAATTTTTTAAACTATTGTTTATTATTCTTCTCTTTCAGAAAGTCATAAAAAATGTTCAGAACACTTTAAAGTTATGAAACATTCCACTGTAAAGAATTCCCAGTTGTATTTAATCCAGCACTCCCCTAAATGTAAATGGTCTCAGAACATTGTTTTGAGTGGAGCCTGTCAGCATCCTACTGGTATATGAAACAGTATTTTGAGAAATATTGCTAAATTAAAATATAAAACATGAGAAATTAATACTGACATCTTTATATTTTAAAGATACATTTCCCTTGTTCATGTCTCCATTCTTTTTCTCCATGCATCTAAGCTTCTAAATTTGTTAAGTTTCAAATAATTATTTTCACTTAAAGAATCTGTCATAAAGTGTTGAAATGTATCTAAAATTTCATACTCTCCATTAAAAACCAGGAGACATGATTTCTTCTCCAGGCTTAAATCTTTTAACTTAAGAACAGAAAACATACTTTTAGAAGGAGGCCAGATGGTGCAAAAGTTAAGTGCTTATCTGCTAACTGAAAGGTTGGTAGTGTGAGCCAACCCAACAACTAAGCAAGAAATGACCTGGTGATCTACTTCCCTAAAGATTCATAGCCAAGAAAATTTTATGGAGCAGTTTATTCTATTCTATTCTATTCTATTCTATTCTATTCTATTCTATTCTATTCTATATCCTATCCTATCCTATTTCATGGGGTTGCTAAGAGTTGGAACACACTTGATAGCACCCATCAAATTCCTGACATAAACTGAAGAAAAGAAAATCCCAAGACACATCTTTCCAAATAATCTTTCGGGTTTTTTTTTTTTTTTAAAGTAGTATATCCATATATCTTGGAAGACAGATCCAAAATATGATGAAAGTGCTTTAAAAAAAGGCCTTTAAAAATATCTTAGGAAAAAGCATTCCTCCTCAAGCATCATTTAAATTTCAAATTCCCTGCCCTCAGTTAAAGGAGACTTGGTGGCACAGTATATACTGGGCTGCTAATCAAAGGATCAGCACTTCACTCCATCAGCCATTGCACAGGAGAAAGACAGGAAATCTCATCCTATAAAGATTTACAGCTGTGGAAACCTGGTGGACAGTTACTATGAGTGGAACTAAATTGATGGTAGCAGGTTCTTTACCCTTAATTAAGAGCATTATCCCTTTAATGATTCCTTTAATATTGTCTATCTCAGTTGGTAAGCACAGGGAACAACAGTAGCCAAATCAATTATGTAGCCTTATATTTCTATTTCTAGCCTAATATTGTCTAATATATTATCCAAAAAAAGGTTTTAGTAGTTTAAGAAGTCACAAGGAGGAGGATATATTCTAACAGAAGATGTATTACAATCTAACACAATAGCTAGAGATTGAGTTTTAAAGTTAGTAAAACAGTCCATTTTTTCCAATCCATGGCTTACTAGACATGTGAATCTAAGAAAGTTATTAACATGAACTTTGTATAAAATATAAAAATAACCTTGCACTAAGCATTTAGTAGTTTAAACAGCTTAAAAGATTAATGGTTCTGAGTGACTAAGAACACTCTGTTTCTCCTTCCCAGCCTTTCTGTTATCTGCCTTCAGATGAAAAGAATGTTCTTAACCATGTTGACAAGGAACACTAATGGTGAAAAACCTGATGGAAATGGACTAAAGAGAAACTGGGTGAGAAGAGTGATCCTAGGTCTCAGCAAAGAGAAGCATAGTGTAATGAAGCATGAGTTTATTTGCTGGAGCACACTGAGCATCAAAGTATCCACGGGGCCTTTCCCATCTGTCATTTCCCCATAATCATACCAGGGAGTAAAACTGAATGTTTCTGTGTAAAAGTCAGAGAAAGAATTAAAACACCATAAGTACATGAATGTCTTGTCACTAGCAGTTTATGTAAAAGATTTGTGAACAGAGGAGGTAGTCAAAAGGAAGCATTTACTAAAGGAGGTCTACTGCTCACCTACAACTTTTGTTATCCTTTCTACCAATGAGAAATTGAATATAAGCTGAAAGAATAAGTAACAAAATATCTAGAAAGTTATTGCCATACTAGAAATCTACACATTAAAAGTAAAATCTCTGAAAAAAGAAAACCTGGTTTTGGAGTTTACTACCCTTTATGAAAAGGAACATTTTAAACTTAATATGCTGTTCATGTTGAAGATGTTTCTATACTCCGTTTCTACCTCTTAAGTGTTCCTTGACATATGACACTTTATATTTTAAAACAGAGATAGCAGTTGTAATCTGTCCTAAGTGTGAAAATGATTGACATGTCTTAGTTTAATAACATCCTACATGACTTTCCCATTAGTAGCTGACTCAATAAAAATGTACACAAGTTCTACGAAAACCAATCAGATTCTGTTAAATGGACTGATTTTATTTATACTACACTTACCCATTGTGAGTTACAAGGCACTGCCTTAGACCCAACTTTCGGAAAATGTCCACCACAATCTCCATCGGGGTGTGATCTGTCACTGTAAAAGGGCTCATGTCAAGAATACTCCGAAGTTTCAAAGGCCGAGGACTTTCTGCAGGAAGAGATGGGGTGTGCTGTGCAAACCACACCCGAGAACTGCCAACAATGCCTTCCTGCTTTTTTCTAGCACTTTCTGAAAGGATAATAAGACAAGACCAAATTTTTAAAAAAGACTGATAGATGTGCTATAAGGACAAAGTACTTATACAGACATAAAAACGGAATTGCTACTTTCACTCATGATCCTTTATCTTCCTAAATGAGACAGTAAAACCTACTTGGTGATATATTTGGCCAAACTACATTTGGCCAGTAATAACTCATAAAGTATTTTTTATATTGTTGTTATATGCTGTTGAGACATCTGTAACTCATAGTGGCCCTTGCACAATAGCTCTGAACCCTGCTCTATCCTGAGTCAATCTCAGGACTCCAACACACCTTCCCCCATTACCCCAGTTACTTTGTCAATTCATCTCATCCAGAGTCTTCCTCTCCTGCACTGTCCCTTAATCTTTCCAAGCATGATGTCCTTCTCCAAGGACTGATCCCACCTGGGCACATGCCTACAGTATGTGAAATGGAGCTTCAGAATCCTGAATCCTGTCTGTTGTGTTGTTTTTGGTATATATATATATATATCTCCTGGTAGACTTTCTTTTACTGGCATCACAGTTGATTTCACATTTGGGGGAACAAAGAAACATACTGGAAAAATGAATTATAAAACCTGTACAACTTACTAGCCCACAGTTTAACAGGACTCCATCACTGCATGACTAGGGATGATAGAGAATTGATGCCTTTGAGTTGTGGTGCTGGAGAGCATGGACTGCTAGGAGAACAAACATGTTTGTTCTGGAGAGGGTGAAACTGGGTTGCTCTTTGGGGGCAAGAATTCTGAAGCTTCGTCTGACATACTTTGGGAATTGCTGCAAGGAGGGACCAATCCTTGGAGAGGGGCGTCATGCCTGGGAGGGTGGAGTGACAGTCCAAGAGAGAAAGACCCTGGATGAGATGGATTGATTCAGTGACTGGGGTAATGGGAGTGGGTGTGTCAGAGACGGTGAGGTTGGCATAGGATTGAGCAGGGTTTAGGGCTCTTTAGGTTTTAGGGTACATAGGGTCGCTATGAGTTGCGACTTGACGGCACATAACAACAATAACATCATCACTGCATGAAGCCTATTTATGATTACTTCTTCAATGCTACTAATTGCACTGGAGGTAGGACTAGATGCCTTTCATCCTTGTTTTAACAAACTGTATTCCCTTGTGCATTATCAGGTTTCTCCAGGCCTGTTCTTTTACTTTCCCAGTATTATAGTGTAATTTTCTATATGACAGATGCTTAAAAATGGTAATTTCTGTTTAATGGCTACAGACTGATATTTTAGGTTATTTGCAAAGACTGTTCACTGTTTTCTATTTAAAATATCTCTGTCCAATAATACTGTCAAAATACAAGAGCATGAAACAACTATGTTATTTAATTATAGAGGAGGATACTTGAAACTTACAAATATTTTTAGTTTTAACCTTTTCCAAGCAACTACAAATGTTCATTAACATGACATCACTAGTAATGGGGATTATAATCCATGTTTTTATAAAGACTGTGTGAGAGAGTATCTTTCACGCATCTAACATGAATTTGAATCACACACAGAGTGGGAGCTCACTTAGGGAGAAACCATCGTTTACTTAACTGCCTGATGATTATTTCTACCTCAAAGTAGAAAGGATATCTTCCAATCAGTTGGTCAAGACTTCTTGGCACAGCCTGGTAAGCATGGCCAGAGCTGCATGGGTTTATTAAAACATATTAAATGGTATTACATCAATTCCTGGGGCCATAATTTTGCCAATCACTTCAGTGCAGTCTGAACTTCCTTAATCATGATTGCTTCCTGATCATTTGCTACTACCAGAAATGGTTCCTTGTCGGCCAATTTTTTGGTACAATAACTGTGTATTCCATCCATCTTCTCTTGATGTTTCCTCATTCAAGATTTTGTCAACAGCATTTTTCAGGATTGCAATTCGAGGTATCAATTTGTTCTTCAGTTCTTTCAGTTTAAGAAATGTCATGAGAATTCTCCCCTTTTTATCTTCTGACTCCAATTAATACTGTCTTTACAAACTATCCTTTCAAATTTTCTATTCAACCCTTCTACTTGGCCATTTTTTCCCTGTGCTTTCACTTCCTTTCACTCTAGTGCCATTTTCCGAATCTCTTCTGATACAGATTTTGGGCTCTTCATTCTCCCCCATCTCTGTAATGAATAATCTTTTGCTTGCTTTATGCATGACATTCTTTATGTCATCTCACAGCAAATCTGGTCTTCAATCATTACTGTTCAAAATCTCCAACTAAGATAGTTTTAAATTCAGGTGGGACAGACTCAAGATCACATTTTGGTTATTATGGCCTTGTTTTAATTTTCTTCAGCTTTTGTTTGAACTTGCACTTGAGTAGTTGATAATCTATTAATACAAATAGTCCCTGGACTTCTTTTGACTGATGATCTTGAGATTCTCCTGATTCTTCCCACAAATGTAGTCACTATCATTCCTGTGTAGTCTTATTAGGTGAAGTCCATGTGTATAGTTGCTGTTTACATTTTTTTTTTTTAATACACAAATCTCAGAACACAGCCCAAAAAGCAGTTGTCTGAATAGAACAAGGAGATACTGTATGGTAAAGCATTAAGAAGGGTATGAGTCAGGATTGTATCCTTTCTCTACAGCTATTCAATCTGTATGCTGAGAAAATCATTCAAAAAGCTGAAGAATGTGGCATCAGAATTAGAGGAAGACTCATCAAAAACTTGTATTGTGCAGATGACACCACCTTTCTGAAAGTGAGGAGGATTTTAAATATCTGCTGCAGAATATTCAATATGAACTACATCTAAGAAAACAAAAATCCTCACCACTGGGTCAATAGGCCCATTAAGATAGATGGAGAAAAGACTGAAATTGTCAACAATTTCAACTTACATGTACACGTAATCAACACCTTTAGTACTGTTGTTATGCTCCATCAAGTGCAAGTCTATGTACAGTAGCTCTGAATCCTGTCCTAACCTGAACCAATCTGTCTCCGACACACCTACCTCCCTTACCGCAGTTTCTGTGTCAATCCGTGTCATCTGTGGTCTTCCTCCCCTTAGTTGTCCCTCTACCTTTCCAACCATGATGTCATTCTTTAAAGACTGGTCCCTCCTAGTCACATGCCAAAAGTATGTGAGATGGAGCTTCAAAATTCTTATCTCCAAGGAGCAGCCTGGTTTCACCCTCTCCAGTACAGAGAGTCTATTCTTTTGGCAGTCCATGGTATATTCAATACTCTTCTCCAGCACCACAGCTCAAAGGTATCAATTCTCCTTCTATCCTTCCTAATCATTGTCCAGCTCTCTGATGCATAGCAAATGACTGAAAAGACCATGGCCTGTATCAGGCGCATCTTAGTCTCCAGAGTGACACTATTGTTCTTCAGTACTTTGGAGAGGTCCCTAAAAACAAACTTTCCCATCGCAATGCATCTTTTAATTTCCTGGTTGCTGGTGCCAAGAGTGTTGACTGTGGAGCCAAGCAACCTAAAACTGTTAACAATCTTAATCTCTTCATCATCCATCCTGATGCTGCCAATTGGCTCAGTGTTGAGAATTTCTCTTTTCTTGATACTGAGCCTCAATCCAAACTGAAGGCTGCAGTCCTTGACCCTCTGCAGCAAGCACTTGAGGTCTTCCTCAGTTTCAGCAAGCAGGGTTGTGTCACCTGCATAACACAGATTGTACCAAAAGGAATTGGAAGACACAGAAGAATTTCATGAAATAACATGTGTGCAAGAGGCTATAATGATGGAAGAAGTTCAAGCTGCTTTGAAGGAACTGGCAAAAAATAAGGACCCAGGAATTGATGGTATACCAACTGATATTTCAACTAAAAGATGCTCCCCTAGATGTGCTCACCAAGTTGTGTCAAGAAATCTGGAGAACAACCACTTGGCCAACTGACTGGAGGAGACCTATATTTGTTCCCATTCCAAAGAAACCAGATCTAACAGAGTGTGGAAATTATCGTACAATGTCATTAATATCACATGCAAGCAAGATTCTGCTGAAGATTATCCAAACTGCCAGTAGCGCAGGCTGGGTTTAGAAGGGGTTGTGGTACTAGGGATATTGTAGCTAATGTTAGATGGATCTTGGCTGAAAGCAGGGAGTACCAGAGGAATGTCTGTATTTCACTGATTATGCAAAGGCATTTGACTGTGTGGACCACAACAAACTGTGGCTGACTCTGAGAAGAATGGGAATCCCAGAACACTTGATCATGCTAATGCAAAACCTATACTTGGATCAGGACACAGCTGTCAGAACAGAGCAAGGAAACACTGCATGGTTCAAAATTGGGAAGGGTCTATGCCAGGGATGTGTCCTATCTCCATACCTTTTCAACCTATATGGAGAACAGATTATCCAGGAGGCTGGGCTCTATGAGGAGAAGTGTGGCATCAGGATTGGAGGAAGCTATTAGTGATGTTGTTCAATAATTTCCACACCCTGTCAGATCAAGTTTTTGGAATGGGAATAAATATGCATCTCTTCCAGTCAGTTGGTCAGGTAGCTGACCTCCAGATTTCTTGGCACAAACAAGTGATTGGGTCCAGGGCTGCATCTGTTTGTTGAAATATGTTATTTAGTATTCCATCAATTCTTTCAGAGCAGCTAGAGAGTCCTCCTTCATCACCATTGCCTCTTGATCATATGTTGTTTCATGAAATTCTTGTGTGTCTGCTAATTCTTGTAGGTACAGAGAGTCTGGGTACTCATTCCATCTTCTTCGATGCTTCCTGAATCATTCAACATTCTGCCCTTAGTGTCCGTAAGTATTGCAACTCGAAGTTTGAATTTGTTCTTCAGTTCCTACAGCTTCAGAAATGCAGAGTGAGTTCATCCCTTTTGATTTTCTGATTTCAGTTCTTTACGTATTTCATACTAATACTTTGCTTTGTCTTCCTGAGCTGCCCTTTGAACTGTTGTTGTTAAGTGCCGTCGAGTCATAGGGAACTCTTAGAAACCCTGTGAATGAAATACCTGGACACTTGTATAACTTTCATCCTTTCTCCAGGTTCACTGGGTTTCTGGAGGCAAGCTATTTTGGAAGCTGATACCATAAAAATAAAAAGATATATCATATTGGCAATGCCTGCTGTCAGGGACCTCTCTAAAGTATCAAAGAATAATGACTTAAAAAACAAACAAAAAAACCCAATGATGTCAGTTTAAAGAGTAACAAGAATCATTTTAATCATTTGCTATGTATCTGCTAGTTGGAAAATGACGAAGGACTATGGAGGAATCATTGCTACCTTTGATTTGTGGTGTCAAGAGAACAAAGGAGCCTGTCTTGAAGAGGGTGTAATCAAGGTACTCCATGAAGGCAAGGATGGTGAAGCTTCATTTCCTATATTCTGGGCATGTTGTTAGGCGTGGACAGTTCTTAGAGAAGGGCATCATGCTTAGAAAGGTGAAGATTCACATAGGAGAGGAAGATCCTCAAGAAAATGTGCTGACAGGGTGATTGTAATAATGGGCTCAATTTATCAGAGATGAAGAGGATGGGACAGGATAGGGCAAGGTTCAGATCTGTTGTACAAAGGGTCACTATAAGTCACAGTCTCAAAGGCACACAATAATCAAGTAGAATGTATAGATTCTATAGATTCCATTTTAGCTCCTTACAAATATTTATGTGACAAAAAAATCTGGAAAGGGTGGAAACAGGGATGAGGATGGGGAAGGGGAAATCATGGGATCACAAAATTAGGTGGGTGGAGGGAGGAGGGGAAAAGGAAATGGGAATGACCTGGTGGGATCCGGAAAGACAGGGTAATGGTGGGCATAGTTCAATGGTGATCAATTTTATAAAACACAATGGATGGGGATTATTTCATGAAACACAATGTGAATGAGGGATAGTGTGAAACACAATGCACATGAACTTTATATGCAAACCAATATAAAACTGAAAATTAAAAAAACCCCAAGCCTTGAAGATTTCAGTTAAAGTATAAGTTAAATCTAAAATTCAAGAGTGATACATTTTCTCACCAGTATGATCACAGAATCAGAGGAATGTAAATAATACGTCATTTTCCCCACTCTTCTTTACTTCTTCCTGGTTTTCTCCCTTTATGTCTGTGAATTCCAAAATTATGAACTTCCTTTCCATTCCTTTGTCTACCAGTATAACTTCAACTATAGGAACTAAATAAAATCCTTCTCTGACTAGTTTTTGGCATTGGTAATAGCTTAGGAGCTGAAACACTTGACCTTAGCCAAATGTGGCGTATGTTTTCTTCTCTCTGGTAACTACTGTTCAATTTCCTAAAGCACAGCATGGAATACTGATGTGGTTTGTTTTGGGAAAACTTTCTTTAAATGTTCTAAATTCTTCCTAAACAGAATGTTCTTTGTAGAACTCCCCCCTTCCTTTAAGGCCACTTTAAAATTAAAAGTATCCAGATTGATTTTAGAATCACAGGAATGATACGTGGGACCAAGCCAAATACTCCACATTTCCAGCTCACATTTCCTCTTGCAATAACTGGAGAGTGACAAATATATCTACTATCTATCATAGTATGGGTAGGTGGAAGAGTCAGACTATACTGAGAAAGATTAAAAACCTTCCTAACTTCCTAAAAAATATAGCTAGAAACATGGAATATACAAATTTGATAAAACACAATTATTTCCTCCTCAAAATAATTTTCTCTCCAACCAATAATACAGTAACACTAAAGATTTTAAACCATGCATTCAGGAATCTCAGCATAAAATACAACAGGATTATCCTATTTGACCAAAGATAAAACAAAATTTCAATAATGTTTTACATGTTAAACTAGACATTACACTTAACAGTATAAACTTTTACATCTAAAGACAGAAAACACAGAACTTTTTTGGGCAATCTAATATAAAAGAGATTAACGAAGATGGAATTTTCAGAGCTTCAAACTGGTTCACTCTGATTTGACCCTCTGCTGAGAAGTCATCCTCCCACTATAGGATATACTGAATCAGAACCTACATTTTAACAAGATCTCCAAATTCTGATTCTACAGTGGAAAATTCTCAGCAAATTTTCAAGAAAGGAAAATTCTCAGCAGCGGGTCAAGTCAGAATAAAGCCCCATGGATTTTCACTAATTTTATTCAAATAATTCAACTTTATTTAAATATTAGAATGTATTTAGCTGGTTGCTGAAACGTACTAAGATCTTCAATTTAAGCTATTATTAACCTATGGTGGCCTAATGGCAAAAGTTCCACTGGTAACTCAAAGGTTCAAACACACCATCTGTGTGATTAACTGCCTCTGAAAATCCACTGGAGGTTCAGGTATGGGTTGGTTCCAACTCAGTGGCACACAGAGACAACCAACAGTGGCTTAGTAGAGAGCTTTGCAGGCACAGTTGTAAGGAGTTCCCCTGGCAACTCAAAAGTACATGGTTCAAACACATCAGCTGCTCCACTGAGAAGGACGGCCAATCTCTTCTGAAGAATGAATTGCCTCTGAAAACCTGCTGGAAGGTCTGCTATGGATCAGTTCCAATTTGAAGGTACACAACAACAACAGTGGTTACGTGCAGGAAGTTGTGTTGTCAACCCAAAAGCAAGTGGTTTGAATCCACCAGCTGGTCTGTGGGAGAAAGATGGGCAATCTCCACTCGTGCAATTTACTGCCTTGGAAACTGTACATGACAACAACAGTATCTATTTTAAGAGCCCTGGCAGTCAAGAGTAACATATTAGGCTACTAACTGAGAGGTCAGTGTTTTGAAAGACCGATAGTATCCTCCCTTAGAAATTTACAGCCTTAGAAACTCACTGGAGGGTGGCTGGACTCAGAAGTGGCCCAGCAGTAGTGATAGTTAGCAGTCACTTTTATCTAACAAGACCTACCTAAACAGGAGAAGAAAGAATCTGAATTCTATTTCTGATAACAAGGCTCAATGGATAGGCAAACCCATATTTAGCAGGAAAATAATCCAACAAAAATGAAAAGATATTAAATATACTCTTTCCCCACAAGTTGTTTTTTTCTTTTCTTTTTAAGTTACCTATTGCAATTGTCAGGTCTCTTCTGAGGGCAAATCCCACTAATCTCTGAGATTCTTTTGACATTATGACAGGAAAGCCATTGTAGCTGGTTTCGTTGATCATATTTTCTATGTCATCCACTGTCATATTGTCTTGTGTCAGCACAGCTAGTGGAGGGTCATTCCTTCGAGGTCTCATGACATCAGCAGCCAGAGTAGTATGAGTGAATTCTTCTTTTGCATCCAAGAAAGGGTAGCCATTTAACCGGATATGTGCTTCATAAATGCCTTCCCTACCAAAAGCATCTCCAACCCATTTACTCGTCATCACTGCAGCCATAAGGGGGACAATATATTCCAAGCCTCCAGTAAGTTCAAAAACAATAACCACCAGGGAGACAGTCATCCTCGTCACGCCACCTAAAATAAAAACCAAAAAAACCCACACCACCATTTATCAGAAAAAGATGGGAACTTCATCATTGTATTACTACAATTTTTACATGAGGCAGCTGAACACAAAATTGTAAACAGAACTTCATCAGTGAAAAGCGTAATGATTAAAAGCTACTAATTTTCATTTAAGACAAAAATCACTAATTTCAAGACTATATAGAAACTATATTTTTAAGTAACATAAGACTTATATAGACATTTTTACTTCTATTCAAAAAAATCATAAAGGCATAAATGCCTAACTAAAATAATTCTATCTTGCTTTACTGTTAAAAGAATGTGTTATTCATTCTTAAGGAATATGATGAAGCAAAAATCATAGCCATCTTGTTAACTAACAATTTACAAATAAGATTTATTATCTATTTACATATATTTATTGTATATGTAGAATTATGATTAGAATAGGATTTAAATTGATTCCTATTTTCATTTCTTTGTCATGTTATAATTTTCAACAATGTCTTATCTAAATTTTTCTATATAAATTTTAATAATCTTTCACAATAAAACGGATTTCTACCTTTTTTAACTACCTCAATTCTTTTTCTTCTGGATTCCTGACACTGTTTTATACTCTATCATTTAATTTAGTACCACATTTATAATCTAATTATATAATTTAGTACCATATATTTAATTGATGACACAGAACATTATATTTTGTTACAGTATTAACAATATTATAATATCTTATCATAAATTGCTCATTATTGAGTTTTTGCTAGTCTTAATCTTCCCAACTTGATTACAGTTGAAGCTGCGTGTATGTTGGTATTTCTTTTTGCATCACTCACTGCGCCCCTACCAATGTGCTAAAAAAGAAAACAGACGTTTAAACAAAGCAGCTAAGTACCTGCTAACCAGTTACTGTGGCATACATTCCAACTCGTGACAACCCTTATGTTTCAGAGTAGAAACGCACTCTCTAGAGTTTTTGTGGCCATGACCTTTAGAAGCAGATCAGCAGACTTCTCTCTGAAGCACCTCAGGGTGAATTCAAAGCATCAACCTTCACTAACAGTCGGGTACTTAATCATTTGTTCTTCCAGGGAATCGAAATACTTATTACTTTGGTGGAAATGATTCTGTCCTTCATTACCACTTTATATTACATTCTCTCAGATCAATAACTGCTTTATACAGTTGAGAATTACTATGAACTTAATGAACAAATAAGTAAAAATAACCATTATAATAAACAAAGAGTGATGTTGTTTTGTTGTTAGGTGCAGTCAAGTCAAGTATGAACCATAACGACTCTATGAACAAAAGATCAGAAACCTGTCCTGTCCTGTATCATCCTCACACTTCCTGACACATTTGTGGCAATTACTGTGTCAATTACCTAGTGGAGGGTCTTCTTCTTCATCAACCTTCCACCTTTGCAAGCATAACGTCACTCTCTAAAGAAGAGGCCTTCCTAGAAACATGCCTGAAGTATGTGAGGCGAAGTTTTATCATCTTTGCCTTATAAGGAGGATTCTGACTGCATTTTCTCCAAGGCATATTAATCAAAGGTGAGCTGGCACAAGATAAAAAGTAGTAACTTCTTACACCAAGACAACAACAGATTTCTAAGGAACCCCTGGGTGGTGTAAACTGGTTATGTGCTTCCAAACCATCCAAAGACACTTCGGAAGATATGTTAGGTAATCTGCTATCAAATGACCAGAGCATGGCAAATCCTAGTGAGTACTTCTTTTATGACTCATAGGGTCACATGAGCCATAATCAGTTCAAAGGCATCTATCAGGAAGTATTTAAAAGCAGATACATTTCCGTTCTTGACATCAAATACTCAGTAATTACTTCTTTCTAATTTGCTATAAATGCATCTTAAATAAATGCTACAAAAGAAAAAAGTTTTACTAAGGCTTACAAAAAATTAATAACTGCAGAACCTAAAATAAAGCTATTCTGATGCTTTCCTTTAATACTGATGTAAGGAATCATTATAGGTTGTTACAGATTAAGTCAAGATTCTCGACCTTGAAAAACCAAAAATAGGCTTGGGCAGGCTTCAAGTTATGTCTATCCTGTACTAGGACATTCTCTGGCACAAAGCATTACGTGATAGTACAAAGATACCAGGAACTATTAAAATGTTACATGAAAAAAATTTCTGAGACAGGTAAAATCTAAACAAATACTACATAATACCCCAGATAATATTATTGTTTTATTTCTTTAAAACATTTTCTTATTCTCTCCTTTCTCAACCCCTAGGCCAATACGGTGTGAGTATGCTCTCCTTCACTATTTTCTCTCTCAGATTCAAAAGCAACCATACACAATCGGCATCGTTAGGTTACCTAAGCATGCGGCAGCTCCAACCATGGCATAAAGGCCTGGGGTAATGCAGTCGGCCCCTACTTCACACCACTCCTTAAAGATAAACCAGTCATGGTGATAATAAGCTAGCTGTTCCACCGCAATCCCCACGATCCTTCCTGCAATGGCTCCGATGGCCATGCTAGGGATGAACAAGCCTGACGGAACCTGCAAGGATGACAACAGAACACTTCATGAGCCAGATGCTCCAGTTACATCCTGGAACTTACATTCTGTGGAGTTGTCTCAAATGCACGTCATTCTTTTCATACCTTATTTAAATAGGAAAATCTCAAATAAAAAATAGCAAAATTTTATTACAAAAGTATATTCATTTCAGGATCAGTTTTCCCCATGGCAAGGGCTATTTGTCCTTTCCATGGGGTTCCAAGATAGTACTAGTCTCCAGTAAAAAAACATCATTACTCTATGATAAAATGAGGGGAAGTGAAAGCAGGGCCAATGCGAAGTGTTTTTAAAAAGTTAACTCTAATTTGAGGCATGCTCAGATTATGCCCTTCAAATATATTTATCAAATAGCAGAAAAACTAGATCATATTTTTCTGATCACCACCCATTTGTCATACTGTGGTGGCCTTCATGTTACTATTAGGCTGGAAACTATGCAAACAACATTTCAAATATCAGCAGGATAGCATTATACCAGACAGGATTCAATGAAACTCCTACACTAAGAGCTGAAAAATGAGTGCGCGATCTACTTTTAAAAATCTAGCCAGTGAAAACTTTGTAAGTGGCAGCTGAAACACTGTCCAGAATGTTGCCAGAAGATGTGGCCCTGAGGTCAGAAAGCATTCAAAATATGATCAGGGAAAAGCTGCCTCCTCAAAGTAGAGCTAACAAGGACATGGACAGAGTAAATCTTTAAGGCTAAAGATGATGTAGCACAACTCCAAATGAAAAGGAAAAGCAGCATATATGTTAATAATCAAAATGTAGAAAGTGTGACTCTAGGAAAAAAGGAAGTTGTCAAAAAGAAAAGGAAACATCTGAAGATATCTTAGCAATTAATTAGTGAGCTGATTTGATCAAACTGTCTACTGTGCTGGGAATGATAAAATAAAAAGGAATATCATTACACTCAATTGTCAAAAAAGAATATATCGAGATTTTTGCCTATGAGGAAGACCAATTAACAAGATTATTATTCACATTTATGCACTAACCGCAAAAGCCAAAGGTGAAGAAATAAAATATTTTTTAGCAATTTCTGTAACGTGAAATTGATGAAAATGGTTATCATAAAAGACTGAAACTTGTTCTTGAATGTAGAATGTTGTTGTTGTT